GAATAACCTTTGCTTCCACATAACAGCAGCTGTTTTAAAAATAATTTTTCATATAGAGGCACATAAAGTACACCAACTTTTGTTATTTTGAAACTAATTTGGACAAGAAACAAATGATTCAAATGTAAGCATGCATTTTTGGCCTAAAAGGAACAGACAGTTCTACATACTTAACAGTAGTTAGCTTAAAAAAACCCCAATACTTTCATGCACAAGCCTCAGATCTCTCCAGAAGGGCTTTCTCAAATACTATAATTTTAGGTCAAGAAAACCTAATTAGAATAGAGAAATTAAATTTATTTGCACTGTAATATTATCTTTTACTTTCCTACATTTTTCAGGTCTTTATTTAGAAAAAGACTTCCTGACACTCATGTAATAGATGGTTCTCAATGGAACCAGTTAGGAACTACTACTCTATTTCACTGCCAAGACAAAATCTTTATCAATTTAGGTGAGAAGTACATCACTAATTCACTATACTTATAAATTTAATAAAAGATGGAAAAAATTATTTTCACTACTTTATCTGTATAATTTTATTTTAAAGGCTATCCTTCACTTGCAGCAAGTTTGAGACATCATGGACTTGCCTCATTATTCTGGAAATTGCTTCATCATGATTCAAACCACTCTGCAAATTATTAGTAGCAAGCTCTTTTTGGTAGTGCACATTTAACAGTTGCTGAGAAGGGATGGACACTTCAGAGCCAACACTCAGTATCTCAGAAATTAAAAAAGGCAAGTTGGCAAATACATACAGTTTTCCCAGTAGTCTCACCATGGTGACAGGCAGCTGGGAGCACTCAGAACAGTGCCTTACCACACAGACATTTCTGACAGGTTAAAAAGCTCTTACTCTCCTGAAATCTATTTTTAGGTTAAGATAGAAATTATGATGAAAAGGAAGACCAGCATTCTTTAGTCTCTTAATTATTTCCCCAGCTCGTTCAAACCTTTACCTCTGAGGACAGCCACAGTTTAGGTCTATTCCATCTGCAAAAGGACAGATGATACGGGCAGCATCACACAAAACCTGTGCTTCTTTAGCAGCAAACTGAACAATCAGTGGGTGATCACCTATGCCAATGAAAAGATATTTAGAGATTAAAAAATCCCCAGAAAATAAAAGTAACAGGTTCTAAATTTTGAATGCTATTTTTGTATATTGTACAGCTGTCTGACCATGGTCCTGGCAACCAAGTATAGGTGACCCTGCATGAGCAGGGTGGCTGGATAACATGACCTACAGAGGTCCTTCCAAGCTCATCTATTCTGTGATTCTGGAAGCCCTCAGTCACAAATAAACAAAGGCAGCTGGCCAGGGGTTACTTACTAAGTGAGTATGTCTATTAACAGAGGTGGAAATTCAGACAAATATAGGTGTACTACACAGTTGCTGGCTTAACATACACTTTCTGACTGACACTGGTCAGTTGCTGATCTTTCACAAAGACCATTTATGAAACTAAGCATTCTCTAATTTTCAGCAGCCTTCATGCTCCCCCTCTTAGCCTGCCCCTTCTTGTTGCATGCTGCCCCTTTGCTGTGCTGTCTGTCTTGCCAGGTCTGAAACTTGCTTACAGAACCAATCCTTCAGGAAAGAACTAAAACACCCACAAGCTTTGCCCTTCCTCATCCCAGCCCATCATTTTCCTTTTCTGTGCCAACAGGGCTGTTTTCTGTCCACAACGTGACACGCAGAATTGGAATGAGCACACGTGTGCAGGAGCAGCTCCAGCAGCTTTGTCTCTAGTGAGAAACCAAAGTGCCAGTGCCCCTCAGCTTGGGTCTGCTGAACTACTTGTGATTTACTAAGCCCCTGCAGAGAGCCAGATGGTCATTTGAGTTGGAACATGAGTTCCTCTTTTACAGCTACTGCATTACATTAAAGGCATCTCAAATATCTCAAGCAGTCTCAGCACTCACTTTCCATGTAAACAATTGCTGTAGTTAAGAAGCAGCAGCGCGGTATCAGAGCACTGATGGAAAGAGATGATCCAACAAATGCACAAAACAAGTGCACTTCTTGTACTGAAGAGACCACAAGTGCTTTCTGAACATTTTTCTGTTTTAGAGGAAAGTAAGTAGTTATTGAAATGGTGGAGATTAAGTAAGAAAGGCCACCACCCTCTCAATCAAGCTGAGGCACTTCTAAGTTACCTAAAAATCCAGCAAGCAAAAAAAAATTGCACGTGTATTTTTAAAAGTGTCCTTTTAATAGTGCTCTAGCTGAAGAGATTTACATTGTTATACCTAATGTTTTAGAATAAGCCCACATGCCTAGTTTCTCTTTGTTGAGCATTAAGTAATATAAATACTGAGTCTAGCCACATAAATTTTTTTAGCAGCAGCCACAAAGAACACCTACCTCTGAGAAATACAAAACAAAGAAACAGGAATACAGAAGAAAATGCAAAACATAAATTGCAAACCTACCCCACTAATTAGAAGACAAAACCCCAAAAGCCAGCAAGTTAAACATAAAACCACACAAAATAGAAATGCCAATAATGTAAATACTATAATCTGGTCAAAGCATGAAGCAGAGTGTTTCATAGGCCTGTAAAATTAAGGACAGCATAAAACAACTGAGCAGGAAAAGGATGTTGTTTACAACACTGAGACATTTCATCTCCTCTTTCCCTATCCCAGCACTCCCCAGAATACACTCCATATCTGACCTGTAGAACTTCAATGCCACCATACTTTGTGTGGATCAGAAGTGTAAGTAAATTCAAGGGGGGCAAACTAGTAACTGTGGTGCTTTGAACCATACATATTTGAGTCAGTTATGTTCTTACTCATTTATTTTTACATACAATGAGTTATTGATGGATTTTTTGTAGTTGCATTCCACTCATAAGAGAGTCTACCTGTGCTTTCCAATGTGAATTTTCTCTGTAATTGCTCTGTTCTATTTCAATAATGCACCATAATAGTGGGTGCATTACTACCATAACACATAGCCAATGCTAAAACAGTGAAATACACTTCCCTATTACATATACACTTACAAAAACACAAATTCTGTGGCCTGAATAGACTAAATCATCCCAATTTATAGACCCTACACTGATCTTACTTGCATGTTAGTGGTGCTTTTCATTCCTCCAGCTGCAGCCTATGCTCATGCATTCCTTGTCACACTGTTCTGCTGCAGCCACTTCACACCAACAGATCTCTGTCGTTCTCGTCACCTCTTCCCACATACTTCAGATCTCTTTATAGCCATGACACTGTATAGGTATCATACTTCTTCTTTTTATAGGTGTTCTGGTTATGTTTCTGTACCATGCCTGAAGCCTTGCTTCTCCCCCTCAACCCCAGCCATGCTTAAACCTCCGGTCTCTTTTGTGCTTTCTTATGCTCATTTCCTCAGTCATCCACGAACAGCCCCTTCCACCCTCCAGTCTGGCTAATATGAAACCCTTCTCCTTTTGTCAGTCCTTGACTCCACTGTATCAATGCCTGGTCTATTGCTTTTTTCACCTTTAGTAACACTCTTATTTTTGCTACAGACTAGAAAATTTTCCTGGATGAGTTGAGTGTTTGTCTCTGAAACACACATGAAACAATTGCCAGAAAAAGAATCTTACTGTCATCTTGGTACCTGGTCTAGCTGTGATGGAGTTACTTGTCAAATTTATTTGAAGTTCATTTATAGTAGCCTGTGTAGTGCTGCATTTTGGATTTTGTGATAAAACCAATGTTGATAATTCACAGCTGTTTTGGCTGTTGTTGCAAAGTACGTGCACAGTGTCAAAACTTCCTGGTTTTCTCACTTTGCTTTCCCCTACCCCCAACAAACAGACTGGGGTGGGCAAGAAGTTTGCAGCAAAGCTATGACATCTGACTCAAACAGAAACAAGGAGTATTCCATACTGTATAACATCAAGCTCAGCAAGGAAACTGGAATGATAGGGAAAGAAAAAAGTGGGTTGGGACAAGGAATTTTTGTTCCAGTGGTCCAGACCAGGCATTGGTCTGCTAGTAGGAAGTGATTGACTTTGCATAACTTGTTTCTTTCCCTTTTTCTTCCCTTTACAAGTTAAGCTGCCTTTATTTTGACAAATGAATTTTTCTTTCATTTGCTTTTCCTATTCTCCCCCGTGTGCTGGGAGAATGAAGGAAGAATGAGTGAGTAGCTATGTGTGGTCAACCCTCACAGATATAAATCACTTTGAAGCCCTTGATTTCATGTGGAGACAAGGTTTTCCACTATTTCATTTCACCCACTATCACTGGACTGTGCTTACTCTCACTAGATCATTTCTGTGTTTTTATAATCAGACAGTATACCAAAATTGTTAACTGATGTCAAGTTTTGTAACTCACTTCATTCACCTGGTCAATTTCGCTTATGACCACATAAAACATTCTGACAAGACAATGGTTTATTAAAAACAATACCTTTGTTTGTTGTGAATTCGCTGTCTCTGGCTTTTGCAGATCTCACAAAATCAGCTGCTACTATCATTGGTGTGTAACACAAATCACAACTGTACTTCCTAACCAAAGTTCTGAAAGCCAACCTGCAGACATATGAAGATTAAGAGGTAAATAGTTAAGGCATTTTTCTGATTACCTACCCTAAAATGCTGTTCTAATATGCAGTATTGTGGGGATGTTCAAGTATTTTATGTGTAGATCTGTAATGAAAATATGTAAAATAAAACACGTCCCACATCTACCTCTGTCTTAAATAAAGGAGAAGAAGGTAATCACCCATTTTTAGTCATTATAAATTTGAGAAACAAGTTTCTAAACAGAGAAAATTACAGAGCTGACATGACAGTTACTTACTTTGAATAGCGGACCATAGGGGCACATATTTTTACAACTTGCCCAGAATGAAACAAATCCATGCGATCTCTTAGTTGGCATTCTTTAGTTTCTCTGATGTCATCAATCATGTATAACTAACAGTCCTTGCAGCATCTGGAAAAAACAAACAGCGTCTGAAACATTCGTCATTCAGCCACTTCTCACAAGCCGTGCTACAGAGCAGCACAATTTACACAGCACTGCCGTTCTAGTGAAGCGGCCGCCCAGAAGCTGCTCCCCGCAGGGTGCCGGGGACAGCTCTCCCGGCACGGCTCCCCCCGGCACGGCCTCACCCTGCACAGCCCCTCCCGGCACGGCTCCCCCCGGCACGGCCTCACCCTGCACAGCCCCTCCCGGCACGGCTCCCCCCGGCACGGCCCCTCCCGGCACGGCTCCCCCCGGCACAGCTCCCCCCGGCACGGCTCCCCCCGGCACGGCTCCCCCCGGCACGGCCCCTCCCGGCACGGCCCCTCCCGGCACGGCTCCCCCCGGCACGGCCCCTCCCGGCACGGCTCCCCCCGGCACAGCCTCACCCTGCACGGCCCCTCACGGCATGGCCCATCCCGGCATGGCCCATCCCGGCATGGCCCATCCTGGCATGGCCCATTAGGGCACGGCTCCCCCCTGCACCACGGCCCCTCATGGCACGGCTCCCCCAGCACAGCCCATTCGGGCACGGCTCCCCCCGGCCGGGCCCGGGCCGCGCTCGCTCCCGCGGGCCCCGCTCACCACGTGCCCGTGCCGGTGCCGCCGCCGCCCGCTCCGTCGCGCTCCTTCGCCATCATCGCCGTGCGCCGCGTCCGGGAGTGACGCGCGGGCTCCGGCACCGCCAGCATGGAGGAGGCGGGGGCCGCCCCCGCCCCGGCGCTCGCCGAGCTGCGGGCGGATGGTGAGGCGCGGCCGCGGACTCGGGGGGCAGCGCCGGGCACAGCCCCCGCCGGCACGACCGCCCCGGGGGCCCTCCGCGGCAGCCCCCGGCCGGAGGGTCCCCTGTGAGGGCGGCGGTGGGCCGGGCGGGCGGGCGAGTCCCGGGAGTTCGGGCGGGGGAGCGAATGCCCCGGTGCGGGGAGGGACTGCCATGGGTGCGCGGAGTGTGCGCTGGGGCTCGCTTGCCCCCAAAGAGGAAGAAATTGCATTGGAACATGAGGCGAAGGTGCTCGGTTGAGAGTAGCTGTCTGCGAACTCAGGTCTTGGTTGATCCAGAGTCATAATTGCAGTGTTATTTCATAATTGTTTTATAAACTCACACTGTTGTCGAAATCCGCTATGATTTCATGAAGTTTTGTCTCATGCTACTTGTCAATGATTTGCAGCTGACTCGTGTGTTTGGCTATGGGTACAGGCTCAACAGCTTCACTCTGGTTACACTGCAAAGTTTGAGAAAATAAGATATTGATACTTTTTAGTGTATTCTGCTCAAGATAAGGGTGTGGGGAATAAAGAAACATGTGACTTTATCACTATTTGCAAAAAAAAAAAATCCCCAAAACAAACACGAACCTCAGTTACCCGTTCCAGACTTGTTTCTTATGATTGTGCCCTCTTCCGACGTTTGTACTGTGTTACCTAGAGAACGTTTACTATTGTGTTGAAGAAATTGATAGAGATCTGTACTCTGCAGGGCTATAAGTATTATTTCATTCTTCCAAACCATGAAAATAAATCCCTAAAATCCTAAATCCTTTTTCAGAATGCTATGCTGACTTCTTCAGAGAAGACTTTGATGTGAAAGCTTACACTTCCCAGTCCATCCATCAGGCTGTGATAGCTGAGCAGTTGGCTAAACTTGCTCAAGGTATTAGTCAGTTGGATAAAGAGCTGCATTTACAAGTAAGTTTAAAATGTACCTGTTATTCTGGGGTGATTGATATAAACTAGTCAAAAACTTAGTATTCTTATAAGCTTGTAATTTGTGGTATTGCCCAGTTCCTCTGCAAGCAGTTACTAAAGGTACAGCTTGCAGCTAAACTAGTAGTGAGTTTGACAACTCAGTTAAGCCTACAGTCAGTACTCCTAGCAGGTAGCCATGTATTTTTTCAGGTTTTGTAGTCTTATCACTGTATGCTGTTTTACTCTTCCTGGTAAGAAGGAAGACTTTTCCAAATGATTGTGTCAGCTCAGGGCTTATGCTACTCTTCAGCACATGATGTAAAGGTGCAAGCTCTCCCTATCTTCTCACAATGCCATGCTGAACATGGCCTCAAGTGTTGATGAGCATGTTCAGCATGGCATTGTGAGAAGATAGGGAGAGCTTGCACCTTTAGCTAGGCAGATATAACCTATGTTAACATACCTCTACACCTTCAGAAAGGCTTTTGAGTTAAGATAGAAGACTTTTTCTTTGCAGAAATCATAAATCCACAGTAGACATTGTAAGGAGAACACTTGCTAAGTTTGTCTGTAGTTTCAGCACTTGCTTCTTCCCTCCCCCTGCCCCAGTTAGTAAATTCTTTGGGAACTAGTTTATATATGTCGTAAATAGAAAAAAAAAGAATATACATTATTATGGTGTGATTAGTAAGTTCACATTTACAATTATTAAGTATCAAGATGTGTTGAAATGTGCTCTGCTGTCTCTAATTAAGATCTCAGCTCTGCTGCACATCTTAATTAATTTCTGGCCCTCTTCTCATTCTGAGCTTGCTGCTTTTGTGAGTTAAAACACCTTGTGTTCTTACAACCCTTTCTCCTGTGAGATGTACCTGCTTTTTCCTGTATCTGGCTGATATAGGGGTGCTGATACTTAAATGCCTAATATAGGAATGATTGTGATATATTTAATACTTCTTTTAGGCTCATGACCCCATTTTTCTCTATTGATTTCTATTTTGGTTTTTTTTAAGGTTGTTGCAAGACATGAAGATCTGTTGGCCCAAGCAACGGGAATTGAATCCCTGGAAGGTGAATCTTGTTATATTATGCTGGCTGTCCTTACAGTGGAGGAAGCACTTTTAGGATCTGTTCAGGGAACTCATTCACTGCCAACTTTGGTCCCTAATTTTAAAGCCCCAGGTCTGATTTCTGAGGAGTAACGTTTGGCAGCTTTTTTATTTTAGTTTTTTTTCCTTACGTCAGTAGATGGAGCTCCAAGGAGAAGATTTGGCTGATACTTCTCTGGGGCAGCTTCTTCATGGGAAAATGTATTTTGATAATGTTCTGAGCAACTTTAACAATAAAGCCTTCTTTTACCTTTTAATATATTTTTCTAAATAAGCCTAGTTTGTTGCAACATTGGTAGGTGTCTGTTGCCATAAGCACCAATTTTCTGTTGCACATGCACGTGTTGCATAGTTTGCACATCTTAACCAAAGAGGCTATAACACATCATCTAAACCATATTGAGATACTTTTTACTAGGGAAGAGCTCCTAAGTTAAATACATACCTTTGTTTTATTCTACTCTTTGAGATGTGGATTTTAACATAAACTGCTAATTTTCAAAGGCTTGCTTAGGAACCATTGACTGTATAGAAGATGGTTGCAGTATACTGTTCTCGTGCCAGGAGCTCATTAAACCTACCATTCTGCTCCTTGTCACTTTGCTGAGAGCGTCATATAGTTTGGTATTATGGTGTGGTTTTTGGTGCAGACAGTATCCTTAGTGTTTGGAGTTGCTTGGGTTCACTGTTTTGTGTCAGTAATTGCATATAGTTGTAAAATTAAAGAAATGGCTGTTTAATCTAGTAACAGTAGCTCCTGAATAACTTTTTAAACAGTTGGAGAATCAAGTATAAAAAACTGAAATATGTGTCATTGTCCAAATAAGAAGTAGACAGGAATGTGTGGTGAATCTTGTGACTGATAAATACTTCCCTGTAACAATCTTCAGCAATTTGTGCTCAGTGGAGTTCTGTTTTCTGAAATGATGGTTGTTTCTGAAGGCATTTCTTCCTAAAATTGCTCTGAGGAAAGAATGATGTACTTCAAAACAACTATCAGTTAGGAAACATTTCTGTCAGACAGGTGTGGTAAATAATACATGTTTTACAACTAATTTGGCAAAGTAAAAATGAAATTCAATTCACCTCAAATTTGTTGAAATTTTTCCATTTACTTAGTGTTATGCTCTTAAAGAAAACACTGAGTCAAGATTCATAAGAAAAAGAAAAGATAAATGCCAACAGATATTTTAATTGTGAAGTTAGAAATGCATAGCTCTTGGTATATTTATCAAGTATGTTAGCAAGTGAAGATTATGGAGCTAATTCACAGCATGCACAGTCATTTGGATGTGTGAAAGTGAATCTCATTAAACATTTCAAATTGGTACACCCAGCTTGTAGAGTCTTTTCTTTTTTAGGCCTGTGCACTTTTTAAATGGTACACAGCTCTGTTTTGTGTGTTCTTTTCTGTCTATAGGTAGTTCAGTAGCTATCTTGAGCTACTTTTTATTTTAGGATTAGGTTGAATTGTATCATCATGTATCTTTCACACTGATGGAGAGGGGAGAGTGCCTTTTCACCCGTCCTTATTCTGTCCTCTGGGGAGAGGGCCATTGGATGCTTAATAGCACTGTTACAGCCATTGATGCAGCAATGTTGTGCCCCATTATTGCAGTGTAGGGTAGGCAATGCAGCCTATTTTGCCAGCTTTTCACTGTATCTCATATCTTCATCCTCATGATCTGTTGCATGTCATACCGTGTATAAATAACAGTGAACACACGAGTTCTGAAATATCGAGAAGATAAGAATTTACGTATCTATATAAAATTAGTGAGATACAGACACAATACAGAACAATGTGAATGCAACTATTTGTAGTAGTTTTGTTTGTCTTCCATCTCACTGTATCATGCTGCAGTTTTATCTAATTTAATGATGGCATGCTTGTAAACAGGGCTTTACAAAAATGTTGTATCTTTTAGAACGCTAACAGTAACTGAAACAAAAATAATTTCGTAGGCCTGGGTTTGTCTAACTTAATTAAATTCTCAGCAGGCTGATTCTGTATTGCAAAAATGACTCCTGTCCCCTACTACTTAGTTTGTAATTTACCACGAAAAGAACAGGCACGCTTGTTGGCTTTCCTTGTGCTGCTTTGCCAAACTAATGTGGAACAAACATGATTAGGGTTTTTGCTCTGCTTGTAATCTAAATTAGATGACCTTACAATGACATTGATACCTTAATTTTTGCTAAAGATCCTTCTGCACAGGATGAAAACCATGAAATAGAATAATTTATCTTCTCAGTTCTCTTTGTCCTAGTCACTATGTTAAATAAATAGTGTTAAATATGTTATACCACTTTTATATATCATGGTCAGGTGTTTATACCAGGTTGTATAATTTGAACTGCAGTCCAGATCAACATTCTCTTAGAAAGTAGCATCCTCCAAATAGTGTTTGAAATTTCACAAATGATGGATTTTGGAGTGATATTTATTCTGCAGGTTTATGTTCTCTACCAATACATTTTCCATAACATTCAGTAAGTGACCTGCTCATTATATTTCCCAATATGCCTACTAATTTTGGTTTCTCTGATGCTCTTTTATAAAGGGGGAAACTGTTTTTAGTTTATGCTAAAGTAGTTACTATGATTTGAAGAAAAACTCTTTCTATAATTTTCTTATGTTTCTGTAATTGATGAATGATGTAAAAAATCTGCTTTATTTTGCAGGTGTCCTCCAAATGATGCAAACTAGAATTGGTGCTCTACAAAGCACTGTTGATAGGTATGACATTCATTATGCAATTAGAAAGTATAAATCCTTATGTTCTATAATGCTATTTATTAACACTGCTATAAATAATTTTCTCTTCTTGTTTTTAGAATTAAAGTCAAAATTGTTGACCCCTACAACAAAATAGTGTCTCGCACAGCTCAGCTAG